TAAGACAATGTGATAAAGTCTTAGATTATTTGCGCTTTCGGTATTTTCATTGTATTTAGTTTTTGCTTCCAAGCAGCCAGGCCTTCGTGGGTTCTTTAAATTCAGTAATGTTTTAGACTTTCTGGATATATACATGTATATTTTTTAATTTAGCACTTTTTCACTCCTTTTCTGTCTGGTATCTGAACATTTTCAGAGGAAGTTTTTTGTTTGTTTGCTTGTTTATTAATAATTTTTGAATATTCAGCATAAAACGGCACAGACTCAGAGATGAATCAATTTTGCATCAACACATTAACAATTGAGCAAGGAAATTATTTAAATTAGGAGCTTTAGGCACTTTCCCATCAGTAGTGTGTCATAAAGACACAAAATAACACAGTCTGATACTTAAAACGCAATTTTGTAACTAAAAAGGGGATTTTTGGCTGAGAACGATAATAATCTGAAGGGTGACTTGTGCTGTGGATGGTTTCAGAGTTTTCTTCATTTTTACCCCAAACTGCTGTGATGGTGAGGTGCTGGAATAAAAATGTGTGAGGAAGCAGCCAGAGTTTTAAAATACCTTCAGAAAGCCTGAAAAGACTATTGATCAAGACCACTTTAAAAGATTACAAGAAGGTCTGAATCGTTGAAAATGGCGGAGAAAATAAAGTAGGGCTGGTCTAAAACTTTTGCACAATTCTGTGTATTGATTATGCATTAAAAGGCTGTGCACAGAGCACTCCGTAGACTATTGCAGCTAAAGTGCATTTGTCTGAAATAAATATGAAAAGCAGTCAAGTGGAGATCTTTTTTTGATGTTTTATCAGTTGTTTATTTTCTACAGCAAAGACGCTACCCATACATGACACCACTCAAAGAAAGTTGAGTCTCCATAAACAGGAAGTAGTCATCTGATGCAGGGCTGGATTATCATTGCAGGGGCCCCTGGGCACAGTGTGCTAAGGGCCCCTGCAATGGGTCTGTTTCCTTCCTCCTCTTGTTTTCTGTCTCCTTCCTCCTCTTGTTTCTTGTTTCCTTCCTCCTCTTGTCTCTTGTTTCCTTCGTCCTCTTGTCTCCTGTCTCCTTCCTCATCTTGTCTCCTGTTTCCTTCCTCTTCTTGTCTCCTGTCTCCTTCCTCTTGACCCCTGGCTCCTTCCTCCTCTTTTTGTTTCCTTGTTGGTTTCCTCTCTTGCCTTCAGAAAAACTGCTTTCTGACCTTTCTATTAGTAAATTCATTTACAATGTCATCAAAGTCCAGATTCCTGACAAGCTGAGATTCAATTGCCATCAGTGACAGTGCACTGAGGTGCTGTTGAGTTTGTGTTGTTCTCAGTTCATTTTTTATTCTTGCCATTTATGAAAATCATTTCCCTTCACAATTTGTAACTGGTGGCAGGCACGTTGCAATCTTTTCAAAAGTGTGGGGGATGTTGTCTGTGCCTAAAATAATTATGTTATTCATCTTGTTAGTTTAATTTCCATAATAGCTGATCAGGTGCGAACTTTAGACGCGTCACGCATGTCTCCATTTGAAACATGTTTAAACTGTTCAGAACACAAATCCAGGCTCTGTCTCATTATATTGGTGCGACTAAAGTTTGTATGAAATTTTTACATTAAACCATGTTGAAAAGGTAAGAAAAGGATCAGATTAAATCGTTTTCCCCCTCATTTACAGTCAGTACAGCGCATTGCGCATGGCTCTGGGGTTAATCAAGTTTTGTTGTTTCTCTTTGCAACAATCTTCACAAGAAGGCAAAACAGTTAAATGGCAGGTTACAGATATTTCCATTTGACTGTTTATTTTGACGGATAAACTCAAGGATGTTGGTTGTTTTGAAAGAATTACCCCGACGCACACTGATGCACACACAGATGAGCTGATATTTTAATCGTTACGCACATCGTGGAGGTAACTAAATACATCAAGAAAAGATTCCCATCAGAACATCAGAGCTTTATACTGGAAACTGTGCTCAGAGCAGCTCGCAGCACACATGGTGGACAGTGGGCTGAAAATCTGTAGAGGGGTTCGCAGCGCAGCGCAGAACCACAGCGATGCAGTAAGATTTCCTCCCACTGAAGCGTTCTGGAAACCCGGTCTCTCTGAGGGATGTGTCACTTGGAAAAATGTTTGCTGATTATGAAACTTTGGCTGAATACTGCTTGTTCCCGTCTCCAATATGGAGACGCAAGACGCATCCAGTCTGTTTGAGGCAGAATAGCCTCTTCAGCTCAGAAAGCACCTTGATCACGCACAAAGTTTATGTGGAGCAGAAGCGGTCGGGCCACGGCAGGTGAAATGTTCCTAGCTGACATGAAGTGAAACTGTTTAATTGTAACATTAATATGTTACTGGACACGCTGGTCTGGTTGGTTAGACCAGTGTTTTAAGTGGAAAACACACACACACACACACACACACACACACCCGCACGCACGCACGCACATACACACACACACACACACACACACACAAACGCACCAATTAAAATAATGCTGATAGCGTGGACTACAAGACAGGTGATGGTTTACGTATTTAAATGATGAGCGGGCTGCTGTAAAATGTAATCTCCATCCACATCCAGACACAATTATCCTCTATTCTTTCTCTATTTTCTCTGCTCTTGTCTGGGCTGACGTAGCTGATGGTGCTGTACCCTTATGAAAGAGTCCTACGTTGAGAGGTACATATAAGAATTGCAGGTAGCATAGCATAGCATAGTTTATTTATATAGCACGTTTAAAATGCAGCATGGGAGCTGCCCAAAGTGCTGCACAGGCTAAAACAAAACACAACCATTACAAGGAGCTAAAACAGAGGATAAAAATCTCAATCAAAGGCAGATAAAACATGAAGAATACTAAGAACACAATTAAAACAATGACACAATAAAACACTAAAACGAGTCACTGTCTAAAAGCCAAAGTATAAAAGTGGGTCTTTAAACGAGATTTAAAAACCGCCAGAGATGGAGCCTGCTGAACTCCAATGGGCAATGAGTTCCATAGCTTTGGGGCAGCATGCACAAATGCTCGATCCCCCCACGATTCGAGTCTCACCCGCGGCGTGTATAGCAGCAAAAGGTCAGCCGACCTCAACGTGGAGTAGAGTTAGAAAAATCCGCAGGGCCACAAACACATAAGGGAAGATGGACTGTAGACTATTTTTAGCCTGTAAACGATCATGGTTCTATTTATATTACATTATTCATGTGGACTCTGATGGGATTATTTAGAACTGAGAGGCGCAGAGCTCTGATGGTTGACGCGCTCCAGACAGATGCGTCCTGAGAACGGCCACGGTAACATTCTCAAAGTGTCGCCACCTCAAAAACAAATTTAACACGCGATCATTTATGTCGGCTCATATCCTTTTATGTTTTCTGTCTTTTATTTGTGCCTGATGCGTTTTACTGCTGCGGAGCGAATAACCTGTGTGGCCGGCGCGCGGTGCGCACTCCACTATTTTTGCAGTCGGTAGATCTTTTAGAACTGCAGTTCAAAGGTAACTCATAAGGTGAATATATATGAAGCCATGTAGCAGTTTTTCTTTAGGACTGAGAGGAGATGCAGGAAGATAATAAACAGGCAGGACAGAAAAATAGTCAAATAAAAACAAGTTTGTTTTTGTACCTGGTGGTTGCAGCAAACAGACACCATTGAAGATAATCAGAAGTGAGGAACAGAAAATTAAACGATTCTTTCAATGTTTACAGCAGCAGGAACTCTGAGAGGCTGCAGGCGCATCAGTGAGTTTGCGGCGGCTGCACAGGGGGAGGGGGGAGAGGGCTGAAGCAGGAACAGTAAAGATGCAAAAACTACCGTTGTTAAAAGAAATGTGTGTTAACTTAGAAAATGTGGGCGCAATTTTTATTACTTCTCAACATTTTTCTCCAACGTTAAGACTGCTGCACAAAAAAAAAAAAAATAAAATAAAAAAAAGACTGCTGCTTGCGTGGGCCCCCTTGTTGCTGTGGGCCCCTGGGCCTGTGCCCAGTTTGCCCATGTTATAATCCGGCCTTGTCCGATGGCAATGCTCATGGCTAGCCGAATTGTAGATGCTAGCTAGATGTGGTATTTACTTTGGTTAAAAACCTCTACAATTTTCATTGGACCATTTGTTTAGTTTATGCTGTTTGTTTCAACTGAACAAAATCTGGATTACTACTCTGCTCCTGCGGTGTCGCTCCGCCAGAGGGAAAAACCTGAGCCAATCAGGTGAAGTGATACAGGAGCAGCAGCGAGGCACACGTACAGCAGTGTGGTCATTTGGACGTTCGGTTGAAACAAACACCATAAACTGAACCAAACAGCCTCATGCAAAATTGTAGAGATGTGCAATAGGGTTCTATAACATCTGTATGACTTTTTGAACAAGAGTTGTTTTAAACAGCGGAAATTAGCCATTAGTTTGTTGCTAATCTGACTGTATTGCTTCGGTCAGAGAACTACTTCCTGTTTCTGTCACCTGCAGATCGGACCCTTGCTGTAGATAAACAACTGGCATGCCATCACTTAAAATGACCATAAAATAATTGTTAAGCTTACACTTGTTGTAATCTAAGCTTCATTTTCAGTTTGAGATGAGTGGAACATTGTGAGCAGGCTTTTATCAGCTCACTAGGGCTGAACAATAAGATCAGGCTGGGTTTGTTTGGATGTTCTCAGCCTCTCCAGGTCTGGTTAAAAAAACAGATTTTCTGCAGCCAAAATTTTTATACAGTTTTGTTAAAACAAATTTGTTGTGTTTCATCCCTAAACACTGAATAAAGTTCAGACTGATTAATTTCAGTCCTGTTAGAGTTAATGGTAAATTATTTTTTTACTTTTATGTAGCTGAGAAATCAAAGTATGCAGCTGATGAAGAATACCCTGTTTTAGTTCTTGTTGTTATTTTGTGTCTTATGCAAAATAATTAGACCTTTTCTAGTTTATTTTTCTGCCCCTTTGTGGATTTTTTCTCTCCCCTTCCATTTTAAACATTTAATTCTTGTTTATGCGTCCTTCCCCAGTCGCTGCTCAGCATCCCCGGCTCGCCCTTCATGTCACGCCACAACAGCCGCAGCAGCATCTTCAGCCTGAAAGGCCGCTCCAAGGACATGGGCTCGGAGAACGAGTTTGCGGACGACGAGCACAGCACGGTGGAGGAGAGCGAGGATCGCAGAGGCTCGTTGTTCATACCTTACCGTCGCAACAGCTACAGCGGATACAGCCAAGGCTCGTCGCGCATCCACCCGCTGGCCCCCCACTCTGGAGGGAAGAGGAACAGTACGGTGGACTGCAACGGCGTGGTGTCCCTCATCGGCCCTGGGCCCGGCAGACGGCTTCTGCCCGAGGTGAAAATAGATAAGGCAGCCACTGATGACAGCGTAAGGACGTCCATGGGACACTAATACAGTTTAGGCATGATGGTGATGATGGTGGCGGCCCTGATCTCTGCAGCTCCTCCTTCACAACCTCTTCCCTCTCTTTGAGTCTTTTACTTTCAAACTTCAGCAGCATTCTTTTTCTTCTCTGATTATCTGAAAGTCATCTCACCGTTATTCCTCCAAACTGATCCGACTCTCCATTTCCATTGATTATTTTTTAACAGCTTCAAAAGGTCACTAACTAGCTGAAGCATAACTCATCATCTTATAACATTATGGCTCCTTTTATTGATCACAATTCTAAAAACAAAACAACTCAAAGCTCTTCTCATCCATTAATATGCTCTATTCTTATTTATATCTACCAGTATCCATGTCTGTCTGCACCTGTCTTTCATTTTCACTCTCCTGCTGCTGTAACTCTTCCTCCTCTCTTCATTTGACCTCTGCTCGTAACCCTGGATGGTGCAACACCAAACCTGAAACTTTCTGTGTAACAAAATGTCTCCTTTTATTCCAGCTAGCATGGTAGACCTTCTTTACTCTCAACCAGTTGACCTTCTTTTTATCCTTTTCTAAATTTAGCATGGTGTCGACATCTTGAATTTCCCTTCGTTGACTTGACATGCATGCGACTGCAATGCATGCAGTTTAATGTTGCAAAGTATAATGCATCACAAGGGATAAAAATGTATTTAAATCCTCAAAATCTGCTATGCAGTGATTAATGTGAGGCAAATTCAAATATTTAGTATTCTCTGTAGTTGTGCTAAAAGAACACAACTGAGGTTTGCTGTGTAACATATCCAGAGAAATGATTAGCTGTTGTTTTTAGATTTGATGTGTGATCAGATCTTCAGCATCATTTTTGTTTAAACGAATGTTTGATCATCTGTTGAGTTTTATCTGTAGATGACGGGTATTGTTTGTCTCTTTGAGTACAGACGACAGACGTGGAGATCAAGAAGAAACACTCCGGTTCTCTCATGGTTTCTGTGGATCAGCTCAACTCCTCCTTCAAAGGAAAAGACCGAGCCAACAGTCAGATGAGTGTGGTCACCAACACGCTCCTAGAGGGTACGCTCGGGCGCGTCTTTACACCTTTCTTTCTGGAGATTAGAATATTGGTGAAAATAAACAAATGCATAAAGAAGCAGAAAGTTTTGGACAAGATTACATTTATTTTTTCATTCTCGCTTGACCGGAATCAGGAAATATTTTGAATATTTTCTTGCAGAATTGGAGGAGTCTCAGAGGAAGTGTCCTCCCTGCTGGTACAAGTTTGCAAACATCTTCCTCATCTGGGAGTGCTGTCCCATCTGGCTCAAGCTGAAGCACATTGTTTACTTGATCGTCATGGACCCGTTTGTTGATCTGGCCATCACCATCTGCATTGTTCTCAACACCCTTTTCATGGCCATGGAGCACTACCCCATGACTGAACACTTTGAGGGCGTCCTGTCGACCGGAAACCTGGTGAGACGCTTCTGTTTCCCACATTTCACCCATTACTACCATTTACACCAGTACCTAGCTGAATTTGGACTGTTGGCAACCTGCATTTGTGAGGGAGTGTGTGTGAGTAAATAGGCCTTTTCCAACGACACTAAATGTGACTCGGGCTGGTGTGGTTCGGTCTGGTCCCTTTTTCCAACAGCAACGTTTGGTATTTTCCCCCTACTTTCCTTCAACTTTTCAGTTTCTGCTCCATTGTGGTTCCAAGGGTTGAGCCGGGCTGGCATCGCGACTGTCGGCCGCTGATTGGCTAGGGGGCGGAGTCATTGGTTGCATTGGAACTTTCCGGCTGCTGCCTCGCTGCCTGCAGCCATTTCCTGGTTCAGAGTCTGACAAAATGCCATAAAACTGAGCAGATTGTTCAACATCACCACCATTTTTGTGCTGAATTGTGTTCCTGTGTAGCATACAGACATAGTTTAGTTCAGCGCCAAATCACGACAAGAGTCGTCTCAAGGCACTTCACATAGTAAACATTCCAATACAGGTCAGTTCATTAAGCCAATCAGAAAAAAAGGTTTCTTATATAAGGAACCCAGCAGGTTGCATAGAGTCACTGACTAGTGTCAGTGACTTTACAGCAATCCTCATACTAAGCAAGCATGTAGCGACAGTGGAGAGGAAAACTCACTTTTAACAGGAAGAAACCTCCAGAGGATCCTGGCTCAGTATAAGCAGCCATCCACCACGACTCACTGGGGATCGAGAAGACAGAGCAGACAAAGCACACACACACACACACACACACACACACACACACACACGCACGCACGCACGCACGCACGCACACACACACAACATATTTACCAAGTAGTGTTCCTATGGCTACGTTGTGATTTCTTAGTAAATATTCCATTTAGTAAGAGATCAACTTTATTGTATTTATCTTAGTGAATCTATAATTAATTCAATCGGTAAACTAGCAGTAGCACATTCAATGATTAAAGAAAGTAAAATGTTATTATCGAAATCACATTAATGTTCACAAAAATTATAAATTCATTTTTTATAGTTATAGTTAATGTCACTGAGGCTCATCGTTTAAAAACGTATAAATCCCAGGAGATTTTGTGAATATTTATGTGATAAAGCAACAGGCAAATTAAACTCTTTTAAATTTCTTAAACTATAAAATTTGAAACAATAGCTGGAATAACTCTTTGAATTTTTGTCCATTTTTTAGGGGAAAAAATTGTGTTTCTCAAATATGAAAGATATACCGTATTTTCCGGACTATAAGTCGCACTTTTTCCCACAGTCTGGCCGGTCCTGCGACTTCTATTACGGAGCGACTTATATTCCAAATTATGTAGGCTATACCGCACTGCTGCGGGCCGGCTCCGGCCCAGGAATGAGCTCCCCTGGCCCGTTTGGAGGGTTTCGAACACCACCATTCTGTGCTGGAGACCGCGGTGCGCTGCTGCGCCTGCGTTGTTTATTCTGTTATTGTTACCAGTACTTGTCTTGCAATGTGAAACACTTGGTCTCAGATTTTGTAAGAAAAATATAAAATTTCTCCCCAAAATGCGACTTATATATGTTTTTTCCTTCTTCATTATACATTTTATTGCTGGTGCGACTTATACTCCGGAGCGACTTATAGTCCGGAAAATACGGTATATAAGAAAGATAAAAGATTATATGCAGTCTTAGCTCTCCGAGACTTACCACAGAGACCAATTTGGTGTGCCACCCCAAATTTTTCGCTGGCCCCACCCAGCCTCCCCTTCGAAAGTTTTCTGGGGGTGCCACTGGACACCAGGAAGAATAGCAACAGTTTCAACAGTGGCTAAATGGGATCTTAATAAAAAACAAACAGTCCCAGGAGGAGAACTTGCAGCAAATTTGTCACCAACACCAATTTAATGTGATTTCAACAGAATATTGACATGTTCTGGCACATTTATGTCTCTAACGGTTTGCAGCTCAGGGAGAAACTTATTTCACTGCTTACTTTAGTAATGTTTCCATCTATAAGAACCTCACATTCTTCCAGAGTCATACCTAAAGTAATCCATGCATCGTTTGATATGTGCACTTAAGTATTCACACGTACCATATAGAGCCATCAGATGGGCGTTGGGGGGGGGGGGGGGGGGGGGGGGGGGGGGGTTGTGAGGACTCATTAAAGATTTAGCTCCCCAGCCTTATCCCCCCACTTAGATCACTTAACCTTTGGCCGTTGGTCCTGATTACCAAAAGTCTGCACGCAGACAGACCTTTGACCTCTCACAATGCTTTGACACAAACACACAGGTGGACTTAAAGGTTGCTCAGAGCAGCTCTGGCAGAGTGTATCACCTGACGCAGACATTTTGATTTGGCTGTGCTTTTCAAATATCACTGTAGCACAGCAGTATTGGCTCTGTGTCAGCACTAAGACAGGAAATGAGGTCATAAGCACTGGCACGCTGTCCAAAGTGAAAGGAAAATTTAACTCAGTCTGCATAAGATGCTGGATGGTGCAGTGTGAATCACCCGAGAGTCCTCTGCAGCACCGACTGGAACAACGGTTTGCTGTTGATGATCAGAAAAAGGTCCAGAACCAACACGGTTAGTTTAAAAGAAAACAATCAGTTCAACGGTGTGACATTTTAAAATGATTTCAAATGAAATGGTTTGGAGATCAGAACAGCCGTGTAGACAGAGTGATGGGTGGAGGGGAAAGAGAAACACACACATACACACTAAAGCTCCACACAGAGACAGACAATAACGATGATCACCATGGCAACCAATATGGAAGGGGGGGGGGGAAGAACTTGTAAAAAAGCAGAAGCTCTTTTTAAAAAATTAATCAAAAGAAGGGTGAAGAAAACAAACACTCATTTAAAAGCAGCTTAGATGCTGTAAAAGGCAGTTTTCACACACACACACACACACACACACACACACACACACACACACACACACACACACACACACACACACACACACACACACACACACACATACACACACACACACACACACACATACATACATACATACATGCATGCACAAACGCGCATGTGATCAAATCTGCTTTTAGTGGAATAAATACATTTGTGAAACACCGATCGAGTGGTGATAAGTGGAAAAGGAAATCATATAATATTTTTCCTGAACATTGTGCTTCACCAACAGAAGGTCTGGCTGGGAAAAGACCGACTAGAAAAAGAAGTTATGTGTTAAAATGTCCTTTAGGTTTCCCTCTAAAATCTCTGTTCCTTGTGCTTCTCTAGGTCTTCACCGGGATCTTTGCTGGGGAGATGTTTGCCAAGCTGATTGCCATGGATCCCTACTACTACTTTCAGGAAGGCTGGAACTGCTTTGATGGCTTCATTGTGACTCTGAGTTTAGTTGAGCTGGGACTGGCTGACGTGGAGGGCCTGTCAGTTCTCAGGTCTTTCCGATTGGTGAGTGGAAACGTGGTCGGTCTCCCAAATAGCCTTGTTCAACCTGATATAGGCACGATAGGATAATACTGTTTGTCTTGCAGCTAAGAGTGTTCAAACTGGCCAAGTCGTGGCCAACGCTCAACATGCTGATCAAGATTATTGGAAACTCAGTGGGAGCTCTGGGTAATTTGACCCTAGTACTGGCCATCATTGTCTTCATCTTTGCCGTGGTGGGGATGCAGCTATTTGGCAAAAGCTACAAGGACTGTGTTTGCAAGATCGCACAGACCTGTGAGCTTCCTCGTTGGCACATGAACGACTTCTTCCACTCCTTCCTGATCGTGTTCAGAGTTCTGTGTGGAGAGTGGATTGAAACCATGTGGGACTGTATGGAGGTGGCAGGACAAGCCATGTGCCTAATTGTCTTCATGATGGTCATGGTGATTGGAAACCTTGTGGTAAGAACAAACAAAAATCACACGATGCAGTCAGTTAAGTTCATTTAGTCTGGAGGTGTTGTGAAGGTTAGGAGTTCCAGATGTTTTCTTTTTTGTCCCGAGGTCTTGAACTTGTTCCTGGCTCTGCTGCTGAGCTCCTTCAGTGCAGACAACCTCGCTGCTACCGATGATGATGGAGAGCCAAACAACCTCCAGCTTGCCGTGGCCCGCATTAAGAAAGGGATTGCTTGGTTTAAGGCCAACATGCGGCTCTTGGTAGCCACAGTGCTCAAAAAGGTAAAGCACCACAAACCGTACAGGTGATGGTTTAAGGACAGCATTTAAGTCATCATCTTTCTGATATGCAGCCTTTAGAAGAGGAACAGAAGCCGTTGGGTGATATGTATGAAGAGAAGCTCAACTGTATCGCAAACCACACAGTGGACATCAACCGTGAGCAAGACTATCCCAAAAATGGGAACGGTACCACCAGTGGCATTGGGAGCAGTGTGGGAAAGTACATGATTGATGACGACTACATGTCTTTCATCCACAACCCCAACCTCACCGTGTGCGTTCCCATCGCTGTTGGAGAGTCTGACTTTGAAAACCTGAACACGGAAGACTTCAGCAGTGAGTCGGACATTGAGAACAGCAAAGATGTAAGTAGCAAGTGCTACGAGTGTGAAAAACAGGGTTTAGGTGATTGTATGAAGCAAAGCATTTGAAAAATCTGCCCAAACCGTGTTTTATAACTACATGAAAAAGCTCAAACGTGTTTGTCAAGCAATGAGGTGAGGCGAACCAGTCTTAGCAGCATTTCAGAACATCCCATTAGCTAGGAGTGCTGTAACGCCGAGCCTAAGTGCTGATCTTGCAGATGAAGGAAAAAGAAAAAGCAGACTGAGGCAGGCCCAACGAGGCGGCAGACAGAGAAGCATACTCCTGTTTATATTATGAATGTGGAAAAAAAAAGCTAAAGTCAGCCCCAAAGCTTGTAGGGATGTGTAGTATATGAGTCACCTTGACTTGACTCTGTAGGAGACACAGCTGCACCTGGACCTCATTTCTCTAACAACCATCTTCTCTGTACCACAACCAACCACAGAGCACGCTGAAAGGAAGATCACAGAGAGCTGCTGTCATCCAGTCAGATCAATCTGACTAGATTACAGGAAGATGGGGATTTTCTTAGCTGATGATCCAGGATTATACATTAGAGTATTGTGGAGTAGATTTTCCATCATGCAGTTTTTGCTCTTGGTCTTGAATGAGCACTTTTCACCTCGTTTAAAGTGTTTCCTCTCTTCTGATTGATATAAAGCTGTTATAGCGAATCTACAGAACAAGCTAGATTTTGAACACAAGCATGGTCATGGAACACTCACCTCTCCCCTCGAGTATCTTCCCTGAGACGCTTCTGCCGGAACCGAAAAGCCGCGATGCCAGAGGAAACGAGATAGTGCTAAACACCAGTCGCTGTTTTCTATGTCCAAACGCCTTAGGTTGTCCGTGACTTCAAATGGTGCTTTTTGTTTTGGGACTCTGGCAGTTTGTCTAAAGTTGAAGTGGTAGCAGCTGGCTGTTTCTCCTTCACTGATATTACTGAGCCACAAACCTCTCACACCTGTGGTGTTCTGTTATTAAATACATGAGTGCGTAATGAAAGGAGGACCCAGGGAAGTGCAGTGGTTTGGCGAAACCGACAACTGGACGGTCCAATAGTTGCTTCCGGTCCAAAAGGTGTTATTGGCGGAGGTTTTTAGACAAATGCGAGAGAACCACTTTATTAATTGTTTTTAAATCTTCCCCATGTATTTACAACTATTTGGATAACAAATTTGGTGTTGTAGCTTTAAGAGACCTTCAAGTGAAATGCCTTCAATTCCCTAAGCTCATGCCCTTTAAAATAACTACTGTGTTTTCTTGACAACTGACATGTTTCTTAAAGTGTTTAGTTGAATAACGATCAACACGTTTGTCTCTTTATTTTTTAAAGTGGCAGAATTTTTTTCAAAAGCTTCAAATGGCTTTTTGTTTTACCATTCAAAGACAAGAAATTAGTTCAGATCTTTTGAAGCAGGTAGCCTTTGAATGTCTCGTGGGAGACCTTTCAAAGGAGAAAAACAAGCTCCTTGGATCATTAGGGCACTCAAACTCCTCCTCCGCTGTAGGGTGGTGCTTAAAGGAGGAGCAGATCTGGGTTTTATAAAAAATATATTTTATATTACATATTTTCTTCATCTGTATTACATTATGCTGGTGAAGGTTCTCAATCGTCCAGGTCATGGTAATCTAAAAGGTTCAAATGACGGCAACTGGACTTCATTTATTTTTAGAAGACATTTTGCTTCTCATCCGAGGAACTTTGTCAATTCTAACTAGAATGTGGGAGAGTCAAGCTTATAAGCTGTAGCTGTCTGTTGTTATTTAGGCAGCTCTGCAGCTCATTCCTAAGCTGCTTCAGTCTAGGTCACACCTTCCTGCTTCTAATCAGCACAACGACTCCCTCTCAATAGAAGCTAACGACTCATCAGGGGGTAGAGAGACGGGGTACTCAGAGTAGTTTCGGCTCGTTAAATAACAACAGACAGCTACAGTTTATAAGCTTGACTCTTCCATATTCCAGTTAGAAATGACAAACTTCCTCAGATGAGAACCGAAACATCTTCAAGAAACCAAAGAAGTCCAGTTGCCTTCATTTGAACCCTTTTGGGTCTGTTTTACATTGTTTTTGTTTAAAAGTTCAAACAAAAAGAACTTTTTTTCCCCATCATTAAATATTCAGATTTTACACTCATCATCACTGAAACAAGGACTCATCATTGGTGATGTTATTTCTGTCTGAGATAATTCTCAGTGGATTTGGTCTGCTGCTGCTACATGCTACCTGAGCTGAATCATAACATATGCATGGTGGCGCAGTTGTTTGCACTGTTGCCTCGCAGCACGAAGGTCGCAGGCTCGAAACTCGGCTGCGGCCTTTCTGCGTGGAGTTACGTGTTCTCCCCATGCATGCGTGGGTTTCCTCCGGTTACTCCGGTTTCCCCCACAGATCACAACATGCCCTATAGGTTATAAATTGTAAGTCTCTTTGGATAAAAGCGTCTGCTAAATAAATAAACATAAACATAAACATATAACGTTCAATGCACAGGACTGTTAAAATTTTTGTAATGGCTGTTCTCACACTGTTCCATATATAAGAGCTTCTCAGACACTGATGGCATTATTTTGTCCTAGCTGGATGACACCAGTTCATCTGAGGGCAGCACCATAGACATCAAGCCTGATGTGGAGGAGGTGGCTGTGGTGGAAGTTGTGGAGGAGTATCTGGACCCAGACGCCTGCTGGACTGATGGTATGTGATCTTATGAACGTTTTCTTCCATATCCGGGATTCCTAAGATGTTTGCATTTCATTATGTTTCCCTGTTTCTGTGATGTCTCAATGGAAGTTCTGTTTTTTTTTTTTTTAACGTTTCGTGCAGAGTGTGTGGCTAAATACAAGTGCTGCGATGTTCCCATCACCCACGGCTGGGGCAAACATTGGTGGTTCCTGAGGAAAACCTGCTACCTGATAGTGGAACACAACTGGTTTGAAACCCTCATCATCTTTATGATCCTGCTCAGCAGCGGAGCTCTGGTACAAAAAAACAACAACCTAGACATAGCGACACAAAGTGCATGATTATTGCTGTAAAAGACATGAAAGCCGAGTTCACTTATGGTTTCACATCAACAACATGTGAGTAAAAACTGACATAAATTACTGATGGAATAGATTTAGACCTAACATTTATTGACAGATGGTGAACATTTTTTCTCTGTCAGGATGTTGGCAGCCAAGAGCACGATGTTGCTTTTCTTCTGCTACTGCTCTTGATGTTTTAGTCACTAATGGACAGCAACGTGCTGTAATGCACCAACCTTTCAACCAGGAGAATTCAGCTTAGCTGTGCAGCTTCCTGAAGGAAGCAGCCTCTGGCCAAATCCAAACACTCCCATTCTGAAGAGTGAACACACACCACGATGGAGTTGTCAGTCCCCACCTTGCTACTGAACTGTGTTTCCTTAACAAAATGCAGAACTCACAACTGAAAGTAATCAAATGTGTGTGTATATTAGTAAAAATTACTGTTGATTTTACATTATATTATTTCAGTTTTATTATTATTACTATTATTATTATTATTATTATTATTATTTGCATTATTTTACAATTTGCACCAAAAGGAGTGGTACTCCAATTTCGCTGTACCTTGTACATCAACAACAGAAGCTATTCTATTCTATTCTAGTCTAGTCTAGTCTAGTCTAGTCTAGTCTATTCTCTTCTAAAAGGGTGATATACAGTAAGTCATCGACAAGTTTGACAAAAACACCAGAAGCACTTTTTTGATCTGTTGAAATGAAAACTGTTTTATTTAAATCAAAAAGTAAATAAGTTTGTTCAGTCACAAACACCTAACTCGCTTCTGCTACACTTTAGGCCTTCGAGGACGTGTACATTGAAAAGAGGAAGACCGTGCGCATCATTCTGGATTATGCGGATCGGGTTTTCACCTACATCTTCATCCTGGAGATGCTGCTAAAGTGGGTGGCGTACGGCTTTGTCAAGTACTTCACTAACGCCTGGTGCTGGCTGGACTTCTTCATTGTGGATGTGAGTACACCTCTGTTTTGTTCGTTTGCATACTTCCTGTTCGCTTCAGCGCCGCTTTGTGAAATTATATCACCAGTCAAGTCAAAAATTCTGCAGGTTTAGTGCCGACTGGCCCCACCCACATAGGTCACATCTCTCCTGCTCATGGAGAAACGCTCACTGACTGTAGAGGTAATTATTAACAGAGATTAAAAATATTTAAATGAAACTTTTATCTGAAAGAACTTATTGTTTATTTTTACCTCAAAACCCTTAGATGACAGGAATTTAGAAAATTTCCAAAACAGAAGGATACATTTTTCTATACCTGCTTCTAGTTAAAGACTATAAAATGTTTAATTTACTCACCAGCTGCACGACTTTTTGTGTAAAGCCACTCTTTTTGTATTTGAACTTTTTTTTAATATAGAACACTTGAAAACCTTTTCAGAGTTACATTTCAAGAGCGAACGTGTTGTAAGAAACATTATTTTCAGTCAGTAGCAACAATGCTGCTTGGAGATGACAAATTTGGAAGATAAATAGTCCTACAAACATGCAAAGGCTGTTTCAGGTGAGTCCTGTTAGAGTTATATCAATGTAAATGTCTCATCTTTGTTGTTCTTCCTCTGGTGTTTCTACTTAATGACTCAATTTTCTAAAGCTTTTTCTTTTTTAACTCAACCATTTCTTTTTTTAAATTTTTTTACAAATATTTCTTTTTAACGTCATCTTATGTTCATTTTAAAATTACATTCCAAAAGCCCATTTATCTGTCTGTAAACGTATAAATTCTGGTGGTGTTATTGGTTGTTGCAATGTGAGGGAAAGGAAGTATTTATTCAATGAAGAGGTTTTGGAGAAACATTAAGAGAAACACTTTCTCAAGAAAAAATAATTTAAAAGAAAAGAAAATCTTGTATTTACAAAGAACATTTTTCAAAAGCTAAAGAAATTTAAATGAGAAGATTTGTATTTGTTCATTAGTTCATTCGTTTTTGGGCAAATAAACTTGATGAAGACTTCTGGGGCAGTGGGAGCCTTATTCCCACTCAACAGAGCTTTATAATGCACAATTAATCTGGGCATAAGGCTGATCCAGTCTCAGTAGCTGATCAGAGTGTAAAGGCTCGGACATTTAGAACCAAAATGAACTCCTAGAATGACTACTGTGCTTTTTTCATGATGTTTTGATCTTAAATTGGTTTAAGTTAAAGATCCTCCACTGACCATAAGTTTAACATATTTACCGGTGTCCTCCCAGAAACTTTGGATACGTATTAAAGGTGCATTATGTAGAAATGAATTAAAAAGGACACCCTGTGGTAAAATCTGGGTGCTGTAACCACTTTAAACAACTCTGGAGCGTTTTGCCGGCCGCTATCAAATTACAATTGTCGGCACTGCAGTATTAGCTCGCAGGGGACACGGCAACCCCCCACTCACTGATGGTAAATCGTAGCTACGTCCCTCCTTCCTTTGTTCTGAAAGGAGAAAAACTGACCATCTCCACGGCCAGCTGGATATAAAATATGTTTCAGGAAAACATTCCATCCAAATTGACAGAAACATTAGTCTCTTTGGGGTTTTCTCCCTGTAAAATTCTCACTATATTCTTACATACTGCACCTTTAAACCCATCCAACAGCAAAATGTCCTCATTTCCCTGTGGTCTCACAGTTGGGTGGTCAGTTACTGACTATAATCTATCAGTGTCCAGAACAATAATGACCACTGACTAAATGATCAGCTTGCCTCAGAAACATCTTTTATTGGAATTTGTCATCGTGTGGAGAAATAAACACAAAAAGATCCAAAAAGGATGCTATTGTCCTCAATTACAAGGAGAGTTATTTATGAATACATGTTACATGTCTGTAAAAGAAGACCTGATCCTTTTTTGTAGTGTGTCACATAGGAGGGAGTTTGGATGCACAAAGGTAACTGAATCCTCTCTTGCTGACCTGTCCTCTCTCTCACAGCAGGTACCTCTAACTGTGTCTCTTTAAGTTCAGAGAGACATTGTGCAGCTGTCGAGACGGACTGAGAGGTCGGTGTTTTGGGGTCTAGGGTAAGGTTTGTGTGCAGTGGTGGGGCGCCTACTTTCACAGGTTATCTTCTCTTCTAACCCTGAAAGTTGTCCTCAGCCTTCCTGCCTTTTCTCTCCCGTCTTTAAGTAAAAGTGCCCTCTGGTTGTGCTACTGTTTCGTACTGTGTACTGTGTGTATATGATTGTGTCACATTGATTTGGTGTTCGTGAACACATCTTCTCCTCTGATTTATCCCTTTGTTTGACTATCTTCTCTTCCTCTCACTGTGTCAACCACAAGTTTCTTTCCAGGTGTGCTCACTGTGCTGTAAAGCTGGTTATCACGCTGGCTTGCCAAAACTAAACCAAACACAAACAGTTTTTTAAGGGAAAAAATTATAATTCTGGGTCCACTTTATTGACCTTTTTTATGTTGTTTATGTTGTAGAAATATCCTCACGCATAAGGGATTTAATCTGTACTCATCTGTCTATGATCACTCAGCCATCCTTACGATTTAGGGTTCCTATTTCTCTCCTTCTAACTGTGTGGGTCCTCTCTTCCTTTGCTTCTGTCTTTCCTTCTCCTTCTGTCCCTATCTGTGTAGGTGTCTATAGTCAGCCTTATAGCTAATGCTTTGGGCTTCTCCGATCTAGGCCCGATTAAATCACTCAGGACACTGAGGGCCTTGAGACCCCTCAGGGCCCTGTCACGTTTTGAAGGGATGAGGGTAAGACCTGAGACACCAGGCAGCTGGTCCTTTTGCATGACGTTTTGAATAAAAGCTTTAACGCATGCTAGAAATGGCAGTAAAATAAAAGAAACTTTAAATCTCTCAGAAGACAATATTTTATTAACACTTCCAGTCAGAGAGGAGCTTTTTTTGCATGGATAAAGATCATCTCAGATGGTTCCAAGGCATCTGATCTGATTTATCATATTTCATTTCAGCATATAATTAATTTTAGCATTATGTGCAGGTTATCAGCAATGATTTTTCTAATAAAATATTACCCAGTATAAAAATATGCATCCCTCTTATATTTCTACCTGAATGATGACACAGAGTAAACACGCACTTTAGCTACTGGCTGAGAAACAACAAGAGGTTGGCCTGAACTGTCGCACCGAAACATGTTCCACCTAAAATACAGAACCGAATACATTCAGGCTTGCAGCTACTGATTCCAAAGAAAAGCACCATTTCTTCTGAATTGGAATTCTGTGGAAAAGTTATGAACATTTGATGTCCTCTGGTTTGGAGAAACCAAACATTCAAGCTAACAGCTATTCCTAGCAAGACAGGCTTAAAACAGCTTCAATCTAAAATAAATTCACAGCTTCTCATGTGGAAACTACTTTATAAACCATCCCTATCAGTTTTGCAGTGCGTGGTTTGTTACAGAGTTGAGATTTCATTATCATTTTCCAGTGTGCTACATCACTTCCTGTCCAGCCTGGGGCTCCTCCAGCAGGGATAAAATAAGGTTTCTCTTATAATGACTGGAAAACAATGGCGGAGTAATGGTTTTATAACATGTGTTTGCAAGAATCCCTGTGGAATTTAAAAATAAATAATATGGCATCAATCTACACTGTTTTTAGCCCTACTCAAGCTAGCAGTTGGCTCGTCAGTCCGGTTTAAATTGAACTCTTTTTGAATTTTTCTGAATTAAAGTTGTTCAAACAAACATCATATTTCCACAGAATGCCATTTCATAAGATCTGGATTATCTAGTGATGCACTCTTCTTCTCAGTGAGTCAACAGTTCTCATACTTTGAGAAAAGTTTGAAAAACTGTCACAATGTCAGAATTCACTTTCGCTTAAATTTGTGATGGGTCTGGTCAGCCTCTGGTTGTTATTGTTGGGCAGAAAAAAAATCCTGGCATCTTCTGACTTTTGCTCTGCCTCGAGTGTCCCCCTATCGGATCTTATCACAGTTTGGCTTTGGCATTGTCACACTGGAAGATCAACAAACTTCTGGTTGCATACCCCCCTCCCCCGCCATCCTTGCTCATCACTCCTCAGTGACTCTCATCATTATGAGTTTCGTGATCACAATTTTGCACTTACTGCATTGTCTATATATTGTGATATTAGAAAACACGAGCAAACTAAAGAAAAAAGTTGGCTTTTTGTTGTATGTTACTGGTTTGGTTTATTTGGCTTTTTGTCCCCATGGCACCTCTGTATGTGGAAATGCACATTCATAAAAATGTCTAGTGGTTGGCGCATAAGAAAAATAAGTAATTATTTTTACTTTGATATATCTTGCATAGATGCTGGAATATTTTCTTGTAAATATATTTGTGCAATTAATAAACGGTGTTTTTAGATTGAATTACACAGGAGTGTAACAATTCATTGCAGCACCACTCATTCTAATTGACGTTTTGAACATTTTTGAACTAATTACAAGAGAGTTTCAGTGAATAAATGGTATTTTTTAACATAAAGTGACATAGCCGTGTATCTTTATCTATTGCTGAAGTGAATAATGTCATGTAAAATGTTTGAAGATAGTTACTACAAACATTAATTAGACATTTTCTTCGGATTAGATGCCTTTTATTTGTCCGAAAACCATTTATTTTTCATATTCATATTCAAACTGCATTTTGCAGGAAAAGCCTTCAGTCACGTTGTAACGTTTGATTTTAGTTATCCGTCTGTCTTGTGCATTATTACACTCCTTTGTCATGGCTCACTTGAACTGTTGCCATGAAACCAAACAACACGCGTGAGCTTCTTCTAGAGGAAGAGTGTGCATTTCTATGTGTTTATTGATGTTCTCGTGTGTGACCATCTGAGTGCAGCTGTTGTGTGAAGGTAAAATCACAGTTTAGTTTCCTCACTGCTCTCCTCAGGTTGTAGTGAACGCCTTGGTTGGTGCTATTCCCTCCATCATGAATGTGCTGCTGGTGTGTCTCATCTTCTGGCTCATCTTCAGCATTATGGGCGTCAACCTTTTTGCTGGAAAGTATTACTATTGCTTCAACGAAACAGCCGAAGAGTACTTTTTGCCAGATGTTGTGAACAACAAAACACAGTGCCTTGCGTTAATTAACGAAAATTACACTGAAGTCAGATGGAAAAACGTCAAGATCAATTTTGACAACGTGGGTGCTGGATACCTGGCTCTCTTGCAAGTGGTGAGACTCCATTTTTTTGCGGCTGTTTTCCTCTCTTTGCTTTGGAGAAACATGATTTCTCACAGTGTGACTGTCTGCTTCACAGGCAACATTTAAAGGCTGGATGGACATTATGTATGCAGCAATAGATTCTAGGAAGGTAAGTCCTCACAGCTTTAACATCCACCTCAAGATCACTCATGTAGTCAGGGGCACCTCCAGAAAATTTTGATAGGGGTGGCCAGATGGGGCCAAAGAAATTTTTGGGGTGGCACATCAAATTGGTCCCTGTGGTAACTCTGGTTGAATTTAGTCTGTGGCGATGTACTGCATTGTGTCTGCATTCATTTTGATTAAAGTAACAGTACGTATCCCAAACATTTAACTTAAATTTTGCAAACACAAACATTTTAGAAAAATACATTTCAGTTATTTATAATGTTATCCCTAATTTAGTTTAAAAATGTATTTTTTTAGGTTGTCACCTGTTGCTGTGGCCCCCCCCCCCAAAAAAAAAAAACTAGAGATCAATTTTTTTAATGGTGAGCAGCAGAAGCATATGCAATTTTTAGTCTCATTATTTATTTACTCATTAATTGTAATGTATTTCTTTTGTTTTACAATTATGTCTTAAATAAACAAGATCAATATATGGTTTGACTGAACATTAATATGATTTGTTAAGCCTCACCTCTGTCAGTGCGCCCCAGGGCTGCTGTGGCTACATTGTAGCTCATCACCATCAGTGTGTGAATGTGTGTGTGAATGGGTGAATGATACACTGTAGTGTAAAGTGCTTTGGAGTCCTTACTCTGAGAGGCGCTATACAAGTGCGGATCATTTATCATTTAACACTGCCTTTCCGGGGGGGGGGGGGGGGGGGGGGGGGGGGCAGGCAATTTTCTGGCCACCCCTTGGGGCGCCCTTGCATGCAGATTAGATTTTTGTGTGTTTATGATATTTTTTGCACATTTACAGGTGGAAGACCAGCCAGTCTATGAGGACAACCTTTATATGTACATCTATTTTGTCATATTTATCATCTTTGGCTCCTTCTTTACCTTAAACCTCTTCATCGGTGTCATCATTGATAACTTCAACCAACAGAAGAAAAAGATAAGGCCTATTTTCCTCACCTTCTCAAAAAAGCCAGTTTGAAAACTATTGAAACTAATACTTTAGTCTGTAAAAGCTCATACCACCTGTTTGCTAAGTCTGTAAATCAGGCATTGAACCTGAAAATCCTAATTAAATAGATACATATTAAGCAATACCACCACATGTCTTCATATTGTTAGAATTATCTCTGGGTTAAATAACATTTGTCTTTAAAGATTGTAACCAAACTGTTTTTGTGTCCTTACTTTGGAGGTCAGGATATCTTCATGACCGAAGAGCAAAAGAAATACTACAATGCCATGAAAAAACTAGGGTCAAAGAAACCTCAAAAACCAATACCAAGGCCTCAGGTAAACATTTACATTAAAGTCCCATTAGTCATCACACACTGGTGAAATTACATCTCCACATTTGACCAATCCCTGCGTGGAGTGCTCTGTGGCTATGCTCAGGAACTGTTTGGTGGTTTGCCCCCCAATCCAACACCTTAAAGCTGAGTATGAAGCAGGGAGGCATTGGGCCCCATTTTTAAAGTCTGGGATTTGAACCCTGATCTCCCAGTCCCCAGTCAGACACTCTACCACTAGACCACTACTGTGCACATTTAGCTCGTAATTAAAAATAAAACTTTAAGTTGAGAAATGACCCAAAAACACAACAATTTCCTTTGATTTCTTCCTCAGAACCCGATCCAGGGCATGGTGTTTGACTTTGTGACGCAGCAGGTGTTTGACATCTCCATCATGATCCTCATCTGCCTCAACATGGTGACAATGATGGTGGAGACAGACGATCAGACGGAGGACACGGAGGAAGTGCTTTACTGGGTCAACTTTGTCTTCATTGTGGTCTTCACTGGAGAGTTTTTACTGAAGCTCTTTGCGCTTCGTCACTATTACTTCACCAACGGCTGGAACATCTTCGATGTGGTGGTGGTCATCCTTTCAATTGTGGGCAAGTATCTGAAAAGAGTGTGAGACCTCCTGAATAGAAAAAGTAGCATTTTGTGTTGACGTGAGGTCATTTTTGTATTCTGTTTTTGAGGTTTCTGAAATATTCTCTTGAGCTACCAATTAGTTTATTTATCAACCACGAGGGCCGAAGAGTTGTCTGCCCCATAATCGGATGGTTGCAGGTTCGATTCCTGCTCAGTCTGTCACTGTCATTGTGTTCTTGAGCATCTACATTGGAGCTCATCACCACCAGGGTGTGAATGTGCGTGTGCATGGATAGGTGACTGATTGGGTTGTAAAGCACCTTGGGGGGGGGGGGGGGGGGGGGGGCTCTAGGACTCTAGAAGGCGCTATATTAAACTGAACACCAATGAAAATCTATTTGTAGATCAGTTAAGGTGAGACAAGCAAAGAAAAAAAATACTTTCCAATGCTTAACATTTCCTATAATTAATCAAAAATGTGTTATCTCACTCTTGCAGGAATGTTCCTGGCTGACCTCATAGAGAAATACTTTGTGTCGCCGACACTCTTCAGGGTGATTCGTCTGGCTCGAATCGGCCGAATCCTTCGTCTCATCAAAGGAGCCAAAGGAATCCGAACTCTGTTGTTTGCCCTCATGATGTCACTCCCTGCTTTGTTCAACATCGGCCTCCTGCTTTTCCTGGTCATGTTCATCTTCTCCATCTTCGGCATGTCCAACTTTGGCTATGTGAAGCATATGGCTGGAATCGATGACATGTACAACTTTGAGACGTTTGGAAACAGCATGATCATCCTGTTTATGATCACCACGTCGGCTGGCTGGGATGGCCTGCTCCTGCCCATACTCAACTACCCCCCGGATTGTGACCCATTACTGGAAAACGCTGGAACTCCATCCACTGGAGACTGTGGAAACCCATCTGTGGGGATCTTCTTCTTTGTTATGTACATCATCATTTCTTTCCTGATTGTGGTCAATATGTACATTGCTATCATTTTGGAGAACTTCAGTGTGGCCACGGAGGAGAGTGCCGACCCACTTAGTGAGGATGACTTTGAGACCTTTTATGAAATCTGGGAGAAGTTTGACCCCGATGCCTCCCAGTTCATCACTTATGCCAAGCTTTCTGACTTTGCTGACGCACTGGAACACCCACTGCGCGTCCCCAAGCCGAACACCATCGAGCTGATTGCTATGGACATGCCAATGGTGAGTGGAGACCGCATCCATTGTCTGGACATCTTGTTCGCGTTCACCAAGCGTGTGCTTGGCGACAGCGGTGAGTTGGACATGCTGCGGCAACAAATGGAGGAGCGTTTTGTCGCAGCCAATCCTTCCAAGGTCTCTTATGAGCCGATCACCACCACTCTGAGGCGGAAGCAGGAGGATGTGTCCGCCAGGATCATTCAACGAGCTTACCGCTCCCACCTGGCATGGCGGGGATTTGTATGTAAGCGCAAACCAGTCAAAAAACCTGAGAACGATGGTAACAATCGAGAGCAAGACAAGAAGGAGGGCACCCCATCAACGGCCTCCCTACCCTCTTATGACAGTGTAACCAAACCTGAGAAGGAGAAACACGAAGACAACAACGAGGGCAAAGGAGACAGGAAAGAGAAAGGAAGAAACCAAAAAGACATCAGGGAATCTCAATGTTAGGGTGGTGGATGAATGATCACATTAATAAAAGTAATGTTACTTCAAGCAAAGTCAGAGGAAACTCACCCACACAGATGTACAGATTATTGCATTTGCAAGTACAAAAAATAGTGTTCAATAATTTTGTTTACAGACTTCATTACTATATTGATGCAGAGGGAAACTGCTCAGTCTGTGACAGCTTAAGGACTCTTGAACTTTTGTCAAAACCAAACCTGGTTAACGTTCTGCGTGGCATTGCCGTAACCAAACTGCTGATCTTGAGGAAACGCAGTCAAAAACAGAGAGGGAAAGGGCCAGTGATCATCTGCTACTGGTCCAACGATAAGACCAGTTACTCTGAAACCGGGGGCGTCGAATCTGGTGCCTTGACGCTACCAACAGATTCCCCAGGACGACAGTGCTGTGAAAGGAAGACAAGGATGCTGCTTAACGTTCAAAGTGTCCACTTAAAGCCGCCAAAGTGTTCCTGTGTCATGTCCTAGTGCGGTGTATAGAGAACGGAATGACATACTCACTCTACGTGCAAACTCTGACTTTTGAGTGAGAACAAGACACAAATAGCGGTCTTGAATGTTTTTGTTTTAGTTTTATTTAAGCTAGATTTTTCTTTCCCTTTGTGCAGCAAAAATGCAAACAGACAAAAAAAAAAGGAACAATATCCAAAGGTTTGCCCATATCACTAAACCTCCTCCTCTACTCATTTCCTCTTTGTTAATACCCACATTGAAATGCTTTCTTTTACATGGGCTTTCTCACCAATTAGTCAAAGGGTCTGTTTAATCACGGGGGTCAACTCGGGCCAAGGGCTTACATTTACTCAGAGAGATTTCCAAACAGTTACATAAATAATTGTGCTTGTTCAATGCATAGAAATGACTTGCATGATGGCATGTTTTGATCAGAAATCTTGCATGAATTAACATAGTCCACAAGACACTAATGCGCAGACCTCACCGGTGGCTCGACGGTACGACGGAAGCGTTTTCAGAAAATATCTTCAGATGGAATTTACTAAACCAAGAGATGTGGGATTAGTCATCCTTAAAGAGATCAAAGTTTTAGCTCATCACATAACACATTTCAGACGTTTTAAACGATTGCCTATGTAGACAACAGAATGAAACACATAATCCCACCAAAGTGAATCAGTGGGTAAAATCTAAGCACTTTCTTAGCGGCTTTGGAGGTTCTGAGGTGAAGAAATGACTGGATGTCTGTGCACATCAGTGGACTGAGATGTTTGTTCATTTGTATTGAAATGTTTTTAAAGGTGCAACACTTTGAAGCTAAAAAGCTTGTGTTCATAATTTATACGTAACGTGTGTCATGTTCATGCGAGAGGGCGTTTTGGGAGTCCAACTCTCAGTGGTCTTTGGGGGCTTTCCTCCTTTCTGTTTCCTCCTGTTTCTCTGTGGGTGGTTAGACCTTTCTGAAAGGCTAGAGAAGAGTTTTCCGTTTCACATCCTTTGATTTGTCCACATGTAAATGTAAATCTGTGTGTCTTTGCTTCCCCGTATGTAATATTATTGCTTTGTTGTGCGACAAATCTTGTGTTACATGATTTTATAAGCCTGAAGTTCATGGTCGGGAGTTTAGTGGTGTTCTGTTACAGCGAGGAACGTGAACATTCTGAATGGGTGATGAGAACAATGTGTGTGGAGAAGCCAAAGAGATCTGCCTTTGCCATCCCTTGTTGTCCTTTTGTCCGTGGAGTGGGGCCGGGCGAAGCCTGCCCTACTCCGTTCTGTTTTTTGCTGCCGTTATCAGACAGAGACCCTGCAAATGTATGCTATGCTTGAAGAAAAAAAATCGCCCCTTTTTTCTCAGGAGATTATGTCGATGTATTATTAAGAGTTCTGCAACGAAATGCAACTGAATGTGATGAGAGTATACATGAAATCATGTTTATTTTTTAGTTTGTATGCCATGCTGGTGGACAATGATCTCAGCCGGCTGTCTTAATCTGACACCTGCTCGTCGGGGGTCAGTGTAGTGCTTCCTGCTTCTGATGCTTTGAAAAATAGGGCTAGAGGCATCGCAGTGGAACAAAGACATTGCGTTCGCTTGTAACAGGTGACATTAGTGATTGTGGATTATATTTGTGGCCAATTCAATCTGGACTAAGGTCTGACCTCTATTTATTTCAATGAAAAAAATAAAAAACTGTTAGCAAACACAGGCGATTTTATGGAGAGACATCCTGAGAGTGAATTGGGCTGAGTTGGTTTGAGCAGCACACACAGAGAAGTGGACTGTTCAAGAGATAAAACTCAAATTTTATATACCAACAAGTTCTGCTTTTTCCATTTGAATTCATGCAACTCAACAGCATAACAAATACCAAATAACCCAACAGAGCACCGGATGCATTCTTTAAGGTACTGTGAACCTGAGCACCGCAGCAGAGCTTTTTTACACTTCCTGTGGTGCAGCGATGTCACTTTCCTGTTTATGAAGAAGTCCCTCGTTCATTTTCAACTTTCCGGGCTCCAGTTGCTGCATGAGATCTCCAAAACCAGTGTGGGTGTCAACTTGAACCAAATAAAAATTTGAATGACAAGCATCAAAGCTACTGCCGTGCATTTTCTCTCAGATCCTCACGGACACAACATTTTTATGATTTAAAAAAAATCCAAAACAAAAACAAACAAATCTGCCACGCACTCATCTGTTTAGGATAAATGACCTGAATTCAGGCGAAGCTCTGTCAGGCACAAACTGCAAAGGCTAAAACGGGACTTTTTAAGAAATTATAAATAATGTAAAATACTGTTTTAAGAGCATGTGTAGTTTTTTTGTAGATAATAAATTACTTTAAAAAAAGTAAAGCTATTAGTCTAACACTAAATATCAGTAATCGTGAATAGAATGGCTTCCAGCTGATGCCCCTGACACACGTTAGATGGTTCAGTTTTGTTTCAGTCACTTTTCACAATAAAAGAGGAGAGTACACTAAAATAATCCATGTTAAACAGCAGAAAACTGTATAAATTAATGCGTACATATACAAAGCTATATGACATATATATATATATATATATATATTCTTTTATACTCTCACACACAGACACACACAAATATATAATACATATTAGAACAATGTCTGTAACGCAGCTCTCCTGTCTGCTCTCGTTGGGGTGACACCAGGTCCACAGAGTGTAGCTGATCATGCATCTTTTCTTTGTGTGACATGTTCAGAGAACAAAACCCAAACCTCCGGCTTGCCCAGGTCCTCAGAGTTTTAGGAGTAGGATGCATGATGTTGTACTGGCTGCTTGCTGACATTTGTGGAGCCTGCCTTGGTGAGAGGATTGCACTACCAGCATACCCCTTTTTTGTACTTGTGTGAAGATGTCTTGCCCCTCGTTTCCTGTGTATTCCACACAGAAATGCAAACACACACTCGCTCACAGCCTTTTGCAGCCAGCCAGTACGATCCACGGATCACTTTATTTGGCTAACTATTGCTCGCTGCAACCCATAACCCTCCATGCCTCTCCCTAACACACTGCTGCAGTTTAGACTTTCATTTTCTCTGCTGTCACTTTTAATATAATCTAACGATTTGAAGGGTTAGTTGTCCTATACCTGTCAGTGTTTGTTTATGGTGCAATATCTCTTAACGGCATGTGCCTTTTTAGCTTTCTATTTAGTCGATCACTAAAATTTGCAACAAAGTTCTTAACACCCATGGAGTGAAGTGAAACGGAGCACGATGATGTCTGTCTTCTTTTTTTTCCTTTGAGTTTCAAATGAAGTGAAAACTCACCACCTAGTTCAGACCTGTGTGGACAAACATCCTAGGAGGTGCTCTGTGTGTGTGTGTGTGTGTGTGTGTGTGTGTGTGTGTGTGTGTGTGTGTGTGTGTGTGTGTGTGTGTGTGTGTGTGTGTGTGTGTGTGTGTGTGTGTGTGTGTGTGTGTGTGTGTGTGTGTGTGTGTGCTGGTTAAAGAAAAACTTGCCTTCTGTTTTTCTTTTTTGCCCCACGTTAGTTTATTTAAATGTTTGTTAATTATGGGTTGGTTAATGAGGCCGTTGTTTTTGTAGCATGACTGAGATGAACTACTTCTCTTTGACAAATAGGTTACAAACCAACCTTTGACTGTCATTTCTTGCCACTAATACAGTCAGACTGAGGACATGTGTTGCAAACCACCTGGGACATCTAAGTGAGAATCAGTGAAAGAATGTCTTCAATTGAGCACGAATCTATTTCCAAACAATAAAGCAGCCTTCCAGTTATCTCTGCGGCTGGTGTCGTTTCTGCTTTTTGAGTGAATGATGTCATTTTAAATGTCTTATTTTAAATCATTCAAACTTTTTGACATTTTTATGCAAATAATTACAAAAACGTTTGAGGGCAAGTCACATAATTGACAAAAGAGAAGCAAGGCAAGAAAAAAGGACATTCTGTTGGTGTCATAAACAAACTTCTCAGAGTCTTTGATCAGTGACGCCTTTACGACTTTCAGAATAGGATCAAATCTTCAATCATAGTTGTCCCAGCTCTTGTTTAGAGATAACTGTGAGCTGGTTGTGTGTAGATAATTTAGTCTACATGTTAAAATTTAAATTTGGCCCAGTTTTAACTTGCCTGTGTGAAAAAAAGCAAAATAATGTAAATCAACGTTGGTATTTATTCTTATTTGTGTGTTTGTGTGCGCGTGTGTGTGTATGTGTGTGTGTGTGTGTGTGTGTGTGTGGGTGTGTGTGTGTGAGAGAGAGAGAGAGAGAGAGAGGGGGGGAGTCTACAGATTTCTCATGGAGTTTTTAAGCTAAGCTACTCAGAGAAAGCCTTTTGATCAAATTAACACAACACACACACACTCCATAAACCTTTAGCTGCCAGTTGACCATTATGTAATGTATTTGTACATTTTTGCACCAGTAAGAATGTGTTTAACTGCATGGTGTTGCACACAGAACATACTACAGAGAACAATCAGCCACAGAGATGGTGAAACCAAACCGAACTGAAACACAATCTGCAGCTGAACAAGCCACGCCCAATACCGACCGCTGGCTGTCACCTGCTATTGGTATCTGATGACAATAAAAACAAACTTATTGGAGAACAAAAGACACTTAAACAGCATTAATAGCTTTCATAAAAAATGTTTTAATCAAATTGCACACTAAAACGAAAGAGCAGCATCTATAAGGCTAACACTATATGTTAGCTTAAAATCCACTCATAACCTTTGCATAAAAACAGCTAATCTGAGCTTACTAAGGTGACAGCTTCACTGCATTTATTGTGATTTTTGAGAATCAAGACATTCGTCTTATTTTAACGTTTTAATGCAATTTTTTTTACAAAACCCCAGAGCTGAGACACCCATTATTTCCTAGGACTTGAACCAACAGGTGATCGATCGGCTGATAAAGTTACATTTAAAAGCAGAAGCTCCTGCTATAAGGCTCTTAAACCTGAGGCTCTGGGGCCACATGCTCCTCAGAGGCTCCTGAGTGGCTCCTTTGATCAAAACTAACCTAAACTAGACTAACATTTATTTTAAAGTAAACTATGCAAACTTTAAACAACTTTATTGCCTGCCTTTTGCTGCAGAATAATTACAGAGCTGTCTGACTCAGAGAGATTTCTGTCCAAATCCAACAAAAAAACTAATATTTTTCAGGATCTTCGAGCTGAACTTCTGAAAAGTTGAAGGCAGCTTTGCACATTTATTAGAATTCTTGAAATTTAAGACAATTAAACAAAGTTAAAGTTAAAGTCCCATTAGTTGTGTGAAATTTGTTCTCCGCATTTGACCTATGCCCTGGTGGGAGAGGTGAGCTGCAGACACAGCCACGCTTGGGAACCATTTGGTGGTTTGACCCCCCAATCCAACCCCTTAATGCTGAGTGTCAAGCAGGGAGGCATTGGGTCCCATTTTTTCCAGGTCTTTGGTATGACCCGACCAGGAATCGAATCCTGATCTTCCAGTCTCAGGGCGGACCCTCTACCACTAGGTCACTGAGCTGGTCTAGAATAAATCATAATTGAACAACAAAGAGAAAAGCAGAAATAAAATCCTATTAAAAGCACTAGAAAACACTTTATTGCTGATTTTTTTATGTCATGAACAACCTGACAGTGTTGCTAAATTCACATTAGAATTTCAACTCTCAGGGATCGAGTACAGTTTCTACAAATGAAGGTAAAAAGTTACTCTCCGAGTCCACACGGGTTGCAGATCCCTGAACTATTGGATTCATGAGGTGGGTGGGGCTTACAGGCTCATCTAGGGGGACAAACCCAATAAGTGACATATGGAGAAGATATGCTGATGGCTGCATGCACATTTGTAATCTTTAAACCTCAGATTAAAGCCTACGGTAAAGCAGGTGTGGGTTTTTACTGGTTGCTCTGGTTTCCTCCCACAGACCAAAGATACATGTGTCAGGTGAACCAGTAACTCTAAACTGTTACTAGCTGTGGATGTGTATGTGAGTCAGGTGGCAAGTGTTTACATTTTACAAAGAACAGAACTGAGTAAACTAGAATGAACGTCATGAGCAGCTAAAGACAAATAAGTCGGAGCTGAAATGAATCATGAAAACTTAGACTCAACCTCCTCGTCTTACCAATCACATCCTTCGCTTCCTGTCTGCGGTTGATAAAATCATCTCAGTCACTGATTAGATACATCCGAAACAATGAAAATGCAGCTGATACCTTGAATTTGTCTGTGTTAACATGTGCTGGGGCTGCTTGAAAATTGCAAATAAATGAAAACGCAAATAAAAAAAACACTGTACACCCACACATGCCTGGTTAGCACACAACAGCACTGTTTTCTTCAAGATTACATCATTTTCTTTGTGCCTTTTTGTTATGTTTTCAACACCTGACTACATTTATTACATGAAACGTTTGGGTGTGCAAGGTTGCAACATGGCAGGTGTGTGTGCAAGAGTGTTTTCTCCCCCTCCCAACCTCCCTGTGTGTGCGTGTGTGGATGCGTGTGTGTGTGGCACTGAATGAGGGAGGAGTGTGAGGGGCTAAGCAGAGGCAGCACTGCAGTGCAGATAGATGAATGCAGTGGCCTGGGCTGAGTCAGCAGCATGTTCCCAACAGGCTCAGACTGTACACTGCACTGTAAAGCACCTCCTCATCCACGGCCATCAAAGCAGGAGGAGGGAGAGGGAGGGAGAACAAAAGTAAATCAGAACAATGAACGCAGGATCACACATTAAAACATAACATGAAACACTGCTTTACAGAACTGTCTTTTTCCACCTATCACCAGTTGGCTTTAACAATTCAATAAGCAAGATGTGTAATGATTGTTTTTATGTTACATGCTTTGTGCTGGAAGCTGCAATAGCTTTGATGTTGAGTGGATTTAATGTGTTTTTCCCCTCTGCAGGCATTTTGCTGCATTTTGCACATCCTTTAGTTTGTTTCTTCCTCTTTAGCTCCAGACGTAGGACGTGGATTAAGTGGGGCATTGGTGAGATCTGTCAGGTGGGAGTTTTGTGAAAAAGAGGGGGAGACTGTGTGGGTTCATGTTTAAGGGAGACAGGAAAGAAAAAGACTGCATTTCTTCAAGGAATCACTAGGATCCAAATCCTGATCACATGTGTAGGGCATTCTGTTTTCTGTGTTCTCCCATCACACAATACCGCTCTGAACATTTAAGTTGCTGTCACATCCTGGATTTCATTCATTCATTCATTCAAACTTTATTTCAGACATGGGATATGTCCGTAACAAGAATAAAATAAAAGTAAAAACACATTCTAATTACAAACTATATAGGCAGTTGTTCCAATGTTTAAAAAGGACTGAGGAGTACCTCGTGTCACTGTAAGTTAAAGATGACAGCGCTCTAACAACAGCGTTAGCTGACAAACTCAGTCGGCAGATGAATTTATACACGAAGAGCCTCAGAAGCGCATGAAAAGTAGGGATGTTACTCACAACAAACATGTGCCTTGCAGAGGTCCATCTAGGGAGCTTCATGAGGATTCTAAAAGCATCCTGATAAGCCACTTGATGCTTCTTCATTACTACCTTACTATAGTTGCACCACAAGTGGGCTGTATAGAGAGGAGTACAAAAGGAACGAAAGAGGGACACTTTAACAGGATCTGAGCACATGCCAAAGTTACGTGCCAGAGTGCATGTACAACTTACCGCATTGCCTCTTAATATCCTCATCATCACAGAGGTCACTTTTTAAAATGTGCCCCAAATATTTTATTTGATGTTATTTGATGACTGTTTTTATCTTTGCCACTGAGGGTGGACTGACCACTAGATGGTCCTGTAATGTCTGAACAACACTTTGGTGGAGTTCCTCAAAATTACCTAAAGCTATCTGACTCCATCTGGTGGCACCTGTAGAAAATACATTTTATATCCAAGATCCTGATGAAAAGTATAGATAGTATAGTATGAAAAGTATATATATATATATATGTATATATATCTTTCTGCATGGAGTTTGCATGTTCTCTCTGTGCGTGGGTTCTCTCCAGGTACTCCGACTTCCTCCCACAGTCCAAAAGCATGACTGTTAGGTTAACTGGTCTGTCTACATTGTCCTTAGGTGTGAGTTTGTGTGTGTGCATGATTGTTTGTCCTGTGTGTCTCTGTGTTGCCCTGCGATGGACTGGCTCTCTGTCCAGGGTGTACCCTGCCTGACTGCCCATTGACCGCTGGAGATAAGCACCAGCCACACATGTATGTATATATACATATATATATATATATATATATATATATATATATATATATATATATATATATATATATATATATATATATGTATATATATATATATATATATATATATATATATATATATATATATATATATATATGTGTATACATATATATATTTATATACATATATATATACAGTGGGGCAAAAAAGTATTTAGTCAGCCACCGATTGTGCAAGTTTTCCCACTTAAAATGATGACAGAGGTCAGTAATTTACATCATGGGTACACTTCAACTGTGAGAGACAGAATGTGAAAAAAAAATCCATGAATTCACATGGCAGGATTTTTAAAGAATTTATTTGTAAATCAGGGTGGAAAATAAGTATTTGGTCAATAACAAAAATTCAACTCAATACTTTGTAACATAACCTTTGTTGGCAATAACAGAGGTCAAACGATTACTATAGGTCTTTACCAGATTTGCACACACAGTAGCTGGTATTTTGGCCCATTCCTCCATGCAGATCTTCTCGAGAGCAGTGATGTTTTGGGGCTGTCGCCGAGCAAC